AAGAATAGATTATTTGTACTTTTATCACTTTTTTAGTGAGAATCTAAGAGTCTTCTTGTGATGTATGTTAGTTGTTGTTGTTGTTGTTGTTGTTGTTGTTGTTGTTGTTGTGGTTGTTGTTGTTGTTGTTGTGTTGTTGTTGTTGTTGTTGTTGTTGTTGTTGTTGTTGTTGTTGTTGTTGTTGTTGTTGTTGTCTATTATCAACATTTCGATTTGGCTTGTTGTCAGCATTCCGGCTTGATCCCGGAGCACTTGCTGTTTCAACATATTTCACGACTAAAATTTTCATTCATTATACATAAAAGTAGCTATTAAATGAACAATGATAGAAAATCTTATGAATCGTTAAGAGAAATTCGAATCCTGTGTAAAATTAAAATTTTCTGCACATCCAGGAACGGCCTACTTGAGAAATTTAAGTACATCTTAGCAAATTTCTCTAATTTTTTAATTCTATGTACTTGCTCCTTTCCTCAATATAATCATACTTTCATGCTAATTAAATTCTCCCCAGAAAAAAAATTCACCAACAATTTTCTGAATTAACTCTATCACCTAAGCAAACTGATTTTTAAAGGCAGTCGAAAAACCGCAACTTTCTATTTTCCGGTTTCTTTAGTCTTTTTACTTCATATAATAATTTGATTCAATGTTTCATTATTATTTCAGCAGCTACTCGCATTTTTAATTCGAAAATCTTTTGGGATAAATTATTGTATTTTCCGGTTTTTGCTATCGTTGGGGAAAATACAAAGGTGCACTTTTCCGGTAATAATCTAGTATTTATTTATTTGTTGCATCACTCAAATTTGAAAATACGCCATGAAGTTTCAGTGAATTCAGATAAATACTTATAGCTTTCAGAATCATTTATCTGAAAGTCATAACATTCATAAACAGTCAATATATCTTTTCTACAACTGCTCTTCGGTAATTCTTCTGATTTACCTAATTTTTTTTCTTTTTTTTCAACTATTAGTATTATCGCAATTCTCTTCATCACTGTTCATTAAGTGATAAGGTGAAATGTGGAATTGAATTGGTAGGTACCTAATTCGTTCTCAACTATCCGGAAGATTATAGTTACGTCAGTAATTAATGAGGTTTTCGAGAAAGTTTGATGGCAGCTTAATCAAACTGAAGGATTAGTTCCTAGAAAGAAGCAATAATAAAGCAGTAAGGTTTAGTAGGAAGAAGTGATAATGAAATAAGTGACGTTTAAGATCTGATAAAAATATGATAAGTTTAACTTGTCATACAAAGTGAATAATAAGACTAACTTATGAAAAGTTGTTTAGTGACACTATTTTATGCTTGGAAATATCTGTGTTTTAATCATTTTGATATCAGTCAGTGATAGATAAGAAAAGCTGATAGATATGATAAGTTCACGCTTTCTTTCTAGCAAATATGTAGCAAATGATACCTTTTGACGAGGGAACTTTCCAATAGTCGCAGAATGTCGGAAAATTGATACGTTGCGCGTAATCCTGACTATACCAATACAGCAATTCCGTGTTCGGCTTAATTGGTTTCACGGAATAGAAAAAAATTTCACTTTCTACCTAAAATAGGTCGTGCAATTGATGGTCTGGAGTAGATGAGAATAATATTCTTTTGAAATTTACGTATTTCAATAAGATTCTGTTAAATTTACACGTAATTACACATAACAATATAGCTTCCTTCAAGAATGTCTAAAAAAGTATGACTCATTTATTTAGTTCTGACGACTAATTTAAGAATTAAACTCATTTATTAATTAGTTTCAAACATTTATCATCCTTCGGTTATTAATTGAATTTCATTTCACATTGCTATCGAACTTGTAACTTTCGGACTGCTACCTTGACTTCTCACTTTGATGTACAGAGGATTCCCAGAGAAATTAAAATTAACCTGACAAGCGACTAAATTTTGCGACTCCTTGGTTCGTGCTCGGTTGACAAATTTCATCCAATTACTTTTGCGATTTTCACTTACATCCAGCAATCGAATCAGTATACTACCACTATTGCTGAATATTTTCCAGATGGGTTCCCAAGGTAGCTCATTTCCAAGGGTGGAGCTTGAAGCACCACCACAATGGGAGTGGCATGAACCACCAGCACCACTAGCTTCTGCTGGGCTTACCGTAGCTTCCGTAATATCCGGTTTCTTGTGCTCACCGACCAGAGGTCCAAAACGTGCACCACGTGGAATGTAATCCATGCTCCAGACACCCATCACCTATCAGCGAAATATCATTACTTTTAAAACTGTCATTTTTATAAAAAGAAAAAAAAGAAAAAACTGAAATATCGTTTTATTTCGTATTTGCGCATCGTGAATTAAAAATTAAATTTGGGAAATTTGAAACTTAACGAATGGAAATTGAATGAAACTCTAATTAGCAATGTAGTTAATCAAATAAGATTAAGCATTTGACGGTTTACATTATAAAATAATTTAATAAGCAAATTCAATGCGTACTGAATGATATGCCAGTATCGTTTTTCAGTTTTTTTCTTTTATCTTCCATTAACATAATCATTTAAAATGAAAATATTTTAGAAGAAAAAAGAAAAAGTAATGATGGAATAATGATTAATTACTTTAGGCACTTCATGCGATGATCGAATGGTCAAGTTCAATGGTAATGATGTTGCGGCGCGATTGTTTGGATCCTAAACAAGGTGACACAGTCGGCATGCATTTTTATAATTGTTGCGATAGACAGAATTATATTATTCATTGCAAATAGGTTGAATTAAATCAATTTCATCAATTTGTATTGAAAAAAAAGAGCCGAAGAAGTTTCATTAACAATAAATTTCAAATATGCTTAAACTATTGTTCTCAAATAATAAAAGATAGCTTCAATAATATCGCAAATAGATAGCACTAAAGTTTCCTCAAATTCCTTTTTTGGAATCGAACTCTTATTCTTCATTATCGGTTATAGGTACATAAAGTGCCATTGAAGTTGATAAAACAGATGACATGAGTACACGCAGGTAAAATGACAAGAAAGATAAAATTTAGGTCAAGGTTGAAATTAACGCTAATAAATTTAGCTGTTTACAATGTTTGTGAGAATTTTTCGCATATATAAGTAATTAAAATAAACAATTTTGTTGGAGAATGAAGTAAAAAGTGACCACTTACCTGATGTTCCAATGGCTTATCAGGTACATGAAAAACACAAAGTTCAGCGAAATTATTTTCCGACATACTAGTCCAATCCCATTCGTTCATGCCTTCAGGTTTACTTTTGGTATCTTTGCATGCCAACGAAGAGCTTGAAACTGAAACTTTATTGCTGAAAGAAAATTCGAATAAAAGTTTCTATAAATTGCACTTTTTTCTAAAACATTATTTTTGAGTCAAACATTCAAATTATAATCTTTCTAATTAGGCAAAAAGATTAAAATTTAAATATTAAATTTCAAACATTTAAAAACTCTGTACCATAATTTCGATGTCCACAATCATCATTAACTGGGGAGCCAGTAGCGCTCGATGAAGAAGACGAATTGCCAATTTCAATAGAATTGTTCGCAAGTGCTGCTGCTGTTGCTGCTACTGAAGAAATTACCGTTGTAGCATTACCGCCACACACAACCATTTCTGGCTTCGAATCCAAATTCCGGGGATGACTAACGATATCTTGGGGTGTGCCGGCATGGAATACATTCGACTTTGGCCCATGTTGCATTATATCTTCGCCCATTAGAAGTGTCGTAATTTTTGTAGCTCCTGCACAAACGTTTGGCAAACAGTGCTGCTGATGATTCTATTCTGGCAAAATCTTTTACCCACAGAGACATTAACGGGAAGTATCACACGAAGTTCAAAGTTTCTATTGATAACCTGATGACCTGATGATTAGCTGTGGTGGATTTTTGATTGCTTAATACCGGCTACCTTGTGTTCTTTTTCCGTTGTTGAACTCTATCCGAACCAACAAATGTCAAATGAATACTGAAATTTTGTTTACTTATGGATTAGTAAGTGATTACTTCACATTATAAATGCGAAAAATATGTCTTATTTTCACAAGCTTCCCCGGAAATTGTCCTATTCCGGAAATTATGCACGTTAGCATGAAGTAAACGACGTGAAACAAAAGTATGAAAGATAAGTTTAACTTTACACTTTTTTTCCAGTAGGGATTTCTTTCAAAATTAATGTAAATAATTGAATGCATAATGTAAACCATAAGAAAAATATTTGATTGAAAAAAATTGTGTATAATATCAGTGTTTGTCATTGAGGAAATGGCGTAAGTAATTGTATTCACGTGTTTAAGTGAGATATCATTGATTGCCACGTGATTTACGAATGATAAATGCATGATGACATTTCTCTTTTCACGCGATAATTAGCTTGTATATCGTGTATCTACCTATCTATCTGTTTGTGACAATGTAGAACATGAAAGAATTCGTGAAATTTCGACTTTAAATTTGAACAAATTTTGAAAGTTTTTTAAATAAAATACAATATTTCAATGATCGGGAATAATTGAGAGATAATATTAGATCAGATGAAATAAGAATCGTTGAAAACAAAACGCTGATAACAAGATATCATGATAAAATTAACCAATGTTTCTATAATCGTCCGATAGGTAAGCTACTTTCAGATAACTAGAGATATGAATGGAAGTATATTCATATGAACTGGTAAATGGAAGTTTGATAAAGATTTATTGAGAGATGAAGCGTTAACTTTTACTTTCTTTTCAGAATTTAAAATTAATAAATTAGAAAAACATTATGCTTAACTTTCGAAAATTTTGTCGAGAATTAAATTTTCCCCTTAAATTTTAAAACTAAAAATATAAATATTATTACCTTTTGCCATTTGTTGATTAGCCACAGCTGATAAATACTGTAGGAAACTTCAGCTTGAAGCAAAATCAAATGCTAAAATCATCTTTCACAGTGTATTGGTTGTCAATCATTAAAGTACGAACGAATAAACAATTGCTTGTATTTAAGACAAATTGAAAATTGAATATGGAGGAAAAACAAAAATGAAAGATTTGCATAAAACTAAAACTTTCTCATATGCATTAGAGAAATTCTTTTCAAAATTAGTATAATTTCAAATTGTTATGATAGAAGAAAAGAAGTAATGAGTTTTTGAAAAGTAATAGAAATCTTATTCAAAAGTAATACAAAATGACTATATTTTTTCAATTATTTAAAATATTATTTAAATAAAATTTCGTCGCTCTTTAAGAGAAAAAGAGAAAGGGAGAGAGGGAAGTGGAGTAACGCTTGTTTTCTTTTATCATTTTGAATAAAACGGAAACAAGAAAAAGAAAAGGAATATCAAAAAATGTTGCATTTAATTTATTTTTTGAAAAATTGAAGTTTTAAAAAAAGGAAAACTTTTGAGGTTAAATTATGTTCACTTTAAAATTCAATGATTTTATTATCAAAAAGGAATAATTTGAAGAACTAAAATGATTACATTGAAGTATTGCTTAGCAATTAGTTGTGATAACATGATAATATGATAGTAATAGTGGTAACAGTAGTAGCAGAAGTAATGATAGGTAGTAAAAATAATTTTCATGTATAAGGCAAAAGCATCATCTATCTCATCGTATCGCTCTTCCCTCTATCATCTTTAGAAGAAACAAGTTTCGATCAGAAGCGGATCTACACTTTCAAACATCCTTCAATCAATCATAGCTCAATTCTAAAATTTTTGACAGAGTTGGATAGATAGGATGACAAAAAGGAGGAATATGGGGACCCAATGAATACAATATGTCATATGGCACTGTCAATGCTCATTAATTTCAGGGAAAGTAAGAAATGACAATAAAAGATAACTATAGATAACTTTGTCTTTTGCAAAAATTAACATTTATTAATGGTTGGCCATGAGAGATATGTCATTTAAGAGAATATTCGAAAAAAAAATAAAAACAGAAAGTTTGAAAATTGACTGATTGCTGGTGCTGTTAGAAATATTGTTTTGTTTCAAATATAGGTTTAAATTTAAATTTATTCTTGAATTTGGTATCTAAGTTTGTTTTACGATCAAAATTCAGCTTAAAACTTTTTTTTAATTCGTAAAATTTTAATTAGAAATAAAAATAATAATACAATCAAATTTGTAATAAGCACAAAGAGAGAGAGAACAAAAAAAGCCTCGATAAACTACTCTACATTGAAATTTTTAAACTCGTATTATATTATTTTAAAATTTTAGACTCAGATTGATTCAGAGATAACTCAGATTAAGCGGATTGACTTAGATAAGAAAGTAAAAGGAAGGAAAAACTAATATGAACCCTTTACTTGTACTTGCAGTTAAATATAGTCATTAAATATGCAGCAAGAAAATGGATCCAATAAATAAAAATATTTAAATACACATTTATCAATGTTAACAATATATAAATAATTAAATGAAAATTAGAATTGAAAGTTGATTTTCCATAAATCAGAAAATTGTTGAACAAATTAAATTTATCTTGAGATTTAATTGATGGATTAATAAGGAATTGATGAAAAGTAATGCTTTAATACTGTTTTAGTTTTTATTTTATATTAGAAGCATCGATGATCATTTCATTTATTCCATTGAAAGATAAATCAATCCATATATTTTCCAAAACTTTTCTTTCAGATTATTTTTTTCTTTCGAAAACTAAAAATAACTGATGAGAATTAAAAGTAACTTTCTCATGAAATTTTTAATTACACTTTTCCCATTTCTCACATATTATTTGTTCTATTTTCACTCATTTCAATCACTTTTCTCTTTTCTTTTCATTGCTAATTTCAATTTCAAATAAACAAGAAGAAGAGGAAAATTGTTGCAAAAATGAATTCAAATAGTAAATAAATTTAACTGAAACTTATCATCTCATTTATAATACTTCTATCAATTTGATAATATTAAGGTTTTGAAAAAAACAATAGACCAAATAACCCAAGGAGTGAATTTAAATCTTAAACTGTTTGAAACTGACTAATTAACATGTATTTCAGATTGTTTCAAACTCAAGCAAACATTGACCTAAAAGCGTCATATTATATCTAGTTGTATGAGGGATATTTGTAATCGAAGAACGGATTTCGGATTTCGGGTTTATGGTCAGGATTTCTTTTCTCCACTCAGGATTTTATGATTCGAAATTTCGGGCTTAAGCTTCGTGAAATTTCGTCGGATTGCTTTCATAAGTGAGTTTGGTTTCTTAATGTCACAGCAAACATTTTCAGAGAAATTTGTTCATTTTACTACGAAAAAAAAATGGAAATTCTACTGAAAGCTTTGACAAATTGATAAAATTTCTTTTTCCCAAAAAAAAAAAAGATGAAAGCTGTTTTTTTTGGAAAAAAAATAAAAATAATAGATAGGAAGAGATATTTAGTGAAAGATTGAAATGTCAACAATCCCTTTTGTTAGAAGTAGATGATAATGGAAAAGAAGTTATTGGTAGAACGAAGTGAAGACGGATAGCTTTCGTGACAATGACAATGACAATGATCCAATAGTAGAAGATAAAAAAAACGGACGAGAAACAAGATTTAGCGTAATCGATAGAAGTACTGAGAATGAAAGAAGATGACTGAGAAGCCTCGGGGCTAATTCCGGTTAAATCCAAAGAACTGGTACCAATAAAACTCCAAACGATATCTGCTATTTGACTATCCAAAGAAGTACATTTTACCCAATTAATAGATGGAAGCTACTGCTACTTATATCAGGATATTTTCAATCGTTGCAATCGAAATACTACAAGGCAGTGATGAGGAACAAACCACGGGATTTTAGAGAGGAGAAAAAAGGAAAATGACGTAGAGAGAGAGAGAGAGAAATTATCAGAAATTCTGGTTCTAGAATAAAGATATTGGTAGAAGTAGTAACTCTTGCTTGTAGAAATGTCTCCATCACTGAAAGCATTATCATCTTTCGGATCCACTGGGCAGTTTGTACCAGAAGAACCAGTTTCCTCCCGATACTTCTTCATTCTCTTCTCCCATTGGTTACGTAAAGGTTTAACGTTTCTGCGTTCTTCACGGATCAAATCACCATCCATCCATTCATCCATCCATCCATCTGTTCATTCATTCATTCAGCTATTCGCTCATTTCACAACATTAATTGTCCCAAACTTGTCGTTACGTTATACTCTTGTCAACCAATTTAATTATCACAAGAAAATGAGAATTTTTCATTCCATTATGCAAATTTCATATATTCACAATACATATGGTGACATTGTCCCATAATATTTCAATAATGTCACTAGCTATAAAGTCATAGCAATACCATGAAATAGGTGGAAATGGTGAAAATGGTCAAAAAATTTTTAAACATTAAAAATTATTAGAGAAAAGATAAACAATGGAAAAGACATTTGAGGAAGAAAAAGAAAAAGGAAAATCACAAGAGTCTTATCATCAGACAAGAGTCTTATTATCAGCTTATACTTCAACTTATGATCAAGATTTTTCGTAAAACAAAAAAAAAATCATTCAAAAAATTTTCCTAATCGACTAAAAAGAGATTTGCATATTCGAATATAGATATGCTTGGAGAATTATTAAAATAAAAAATTCAATTTGTTTCGTTAATGAAAAACTGAAATTGAAATTTAAACTTGCTTTCTGATTTCATTTATATCTTTATATTGGAAGAAGAAAAAGAATTGCAATAACAATAAACAATAAACAATAAACAATAGCCAATAAGAATGGCAATAACATTATGTCTTGTTTTGAGCCAAACAATCAGTACTATTTTTGCATCGAATCGGAATCGAATTTCCTCCATTGTCATTTTCAGAAGTTGAGGGACAATTATGCAATCAAGTTTCCTATTCTCCCCACCCTTTTTCTTTCTTCCTCTCTCTTCCTCTCTTCGAGAAGAAAACCTGATTTTGTGTATATATGTAAGCTTTAATCACTATTTCATCAATATTTCAAAAGTGTAAACAGAGGACGAATAAACATAACTGTCCACTCCTCACTTAATTGTTTCATATATGCTATTGGTCAGTGGATAGTCAATCAGACCTAAATACACCTACCCTAATTAATCATCAACCTTACGCTGAGCATTAGAATGATGTATGCAAATATAAATAATATTGAAGGATTTTCTTCAAATAAATTCTAAAAGTGTCGTTTCATTTTTTGTCAAACTTGAACAAAAAGTTTTTCCAAAAGTACTAAACTTATTTTGGGATTTAAATATCACCATTTTAGAAATGCATGATCGCAGGCAAAGTTCGAAGTAATATTAATTCGTATTTTTGCTGCAATAAGATCAAGAAACTATCGTAACTTCCCGCACTCTTGTTATTTAAGAACTCTCAGAGATCTCATATAAGATTGGGACTTCTTAGTGAAATGAAAAAAAGAAACTTTAGTTTTTTCTCGTTAAAATTCTAAACAAACAAAGTAGATGAAAAAATAACCATTTTTTATTGTACTTTTGAAACAAATAACAGAAAAAACTCCACAAAGAATCTTCAAAATTCATGAAAAAATTTTAAAATTAAAGAAAATTTTGTTCAATTTCTTTTCTTTTTCCTTTTTCCTGTTTTTTTTTTTCTTTTTCTTTTTTTTTTTAATAGAATAGTCCTGATATGATGAGTAGTAGATAAATGGTGAGGAAAAAAAAAGAAAATGACTAAAACTTTCGTTACGCAATTTCCCCTTCTCATCTCATCCCCCTGGGCGGTGATTGACCTGATTTTTAGTACATACAATGCAAATAGAAAGGCAATTTGAACATACCATGACACCTGCATAGAGGTCATTCCAAGGCAAACATTTAATCATATCAACTGATTGTAAGAGATGGAAAAGGTAACAAATGCTTATCATCTAATGAATGAATTAATAAACTTTTTTAAAATATAACGATAGTATGCGGAATTTTTCTTCCGCATAAAATATATTGCATGATTATTGAAAAGTTGAAATGTTTGTTTCTCAGAGTAAATAAAGGTTGAAAAAAAGAAGAAAAAGGAAATAAAAGTAAGTGGGAGAGTTGCAGAAAAAAGGGGAAAGAAAAAGGAAAAAGGGATTTGATATGATAATTTTTGTGCAAAAAATAACTGATCCAAAAATTTGCGTAGGAAATTAAGTTCTTATATATAGTCTTTTTCTTCTAGCAAGAAATATTATTAGAGAAAGTATTAAAATAAGAGAAGATTTACTTATGAAGTACGAGGTGATAATTGTTTCATTTAGTGATCAAGCAGAAAAAGACACTTTCTTTTTGTTTATTTATCAGATAGCGAAGGACATTGTTTTGTTTACTTATCAAATATAGGAAGGCATTCAAGTAAAAAAAAAAGCACTGTATTCTTTATCAGATAGAGAAAGACACCATTTTGTTTACTCGTTAAATAGAGGAAGGCAGTGTTTCATTCATTTATCAGATAAGGGAAAACATTATTTAATTTACTTATCAAATAAGAAGTGCTAATTTGATAAGTCTAACAAGAAGTAATACTCAAATGATAACTAAGACATTCTTTTAGTGATAAATGGGAAAAAAAGTTCAAATATTACATATAAATATGCAAATATCAACACAACACATTGGATATAATGCTTCAAAAGAATCTTTTAGTTTACTTCGAAGATGAAGGGATATTAGACAATGAGATATTCAAAAATACTATTTGTCAGGATTTTCCATACAATAGATTCAATGATGTAATGGTGATTAATTAAAATGTGTTTGACAAAAATTATTTGACAATTAGAAAAATCCAGAGAAACCGATTCCAAACAAAACAATCGAATCTATCTTTAATATATTGTTGTTTAATTATACTTTTAAAGACTTAAAATTAGGTTAAACTTAGACAGAGATCATCAAAATGCATTATCGATAAAATTCGCAGAAGGATAAGATAAAATAATAACAAAAATGAAATTAGTAAATTTCAGAAAGAATGAATTCTAAAGAGAAATAGCATGATTTGAAGTAAGTTGCATGAATGGATGGATGGATGGATGGATTCGTTGACCTTGCCTGTTGACATTCAATCTTCTTCCTCTTTACTTTTGCCCAAAAGAGATGAAGTACCGTACCATACTGATGATGATGGCGGTGATGATGATGGGTCGATCTCACCATCATATATAGTAGAGAAATTAGAACAAAACTAGAGGTTTGTGAGAGAGATGAAAAAAGGAAAGGAAGATACGACAGACTGCGCTTCACCCCATTTTATTATGCTATTCAAAAATTTTGAGATTTCAATCATAAAACAGGATATGGCAAAATCATACGATTTGGATACTTTTCATAGGATTATCATCCCATTGCTAAATTACACCTTATTTAAACTTGGCTTAGCTAAAATTTATTATAAAACAACTATAGTTTGACTATAATTTTCAAAATTTGAATTAAAAAACTCGTTCGGAATGATGAAAAGAAGAAGGCTGAAAGTTATATGAGGAATAGTACCATACAATTCTTATTTATCATGATTGTACTGTAGAAAAGATATCATAAGTTGGCTGTAATCCTTACTACAGTCAATTTCATCATAAAATCCTAATTTGATAATTTTGTTAATTCGATGATATAATGCTGAAATTCCGGAGAAAAAAGAAGAAAAAAGATAATGAATTATTATCAAAGCCGAATTGTATCAGAGTTATTGTAAAATACAGTTCAATAATTCAACTAGCAGAAGGTTGGTTGTACTGTATCGACTCCATATCCGATCAAGAATACTTTTTAAAGTAACACCGATAATGTGATCACAATAGTGCACGAGAGGATTGACAATGAGTTCCTTCACTTGTTACACTGCTACTGGATGTTGATAAGATTTGGAGTTCAACGAGAATTTTCATCTCCATCACAGGTAGACATGGAATAAAAAAAAAAGAAATCCGGACCGTCACTAACCATTATGTGGACATTTGGAAGAAATACTAACGTCAATGACCCTTTATGCCAAGGTCATTTTATCCTCTTGTTACACTGCTCACTCTATTTTTTCTTTTTTTTTATTTGAGGAATTTGAATTGGCTGTTTTTGCTGCAATACATTTGAATCGAGGTTTTGCAAGGAAAAACTGAACTTTAAATAATTTTAAAAATAGAAATTTGAAGCAAAGATGGACGTGCCCAAATGCTTAACAACAGTAATGTTATCGATAGAAAATTCACCAACAAAGATCAAGGTCAAAGTGGACTTTTCGTGTTGTGTACTAAGGGTAATCTAAAATTGAAGGCATATCTGTAGAGTAACAATGAATTTTAAAATTTCATTTGAATGGAGTTATACGATCAGATAGGATGAGAAATGGGGTAGAAGGATGAATGGGTTGCCCTTGGCCTTGCGCAATGCCATTTTACCCAATTGAATTTGAGGCGATGCGCGTAATTCGTAGCAATCATCATCATCATCATTGTCGGATCGGCGAAATAGGTCAGTAGGTCCCCTCCTTCTCTCCCCCCTCCCGTCTGTTCGGTCCATCCAACAGGTACCCTGCGCTACCATCCCGTCTCCCACTGATTATCAAGACCCCGCGCAAGCTACACCTTCATCCATCCGTAATCACCGCCTGCCTCCAGCCTCGCTATTATCACAAGTAATAAACAGCACATTCTTAAGCAATCTGGCAAAATTTCTTGTTGGAAAATTTTCTTTCCAGCCTTCTTAACTCTCGTTCGTCAAAGTCAACAATGACAATAACACCGAATCCTGTACATTGTTCAAATACGGTTTTCCGGAGTGATAATAAAGGAAAGGAAAATTCACGGTCTTTTCTCACGCTTATTATTATAGATAGATAACTGAGTGCACTTTGACAATGAAACAAGTACACATGGAGATATACTCCACTATGAAAGATTTACATATCGGAAGAATAGAGGAAAGGATGTTGAAGGTTGACGATATCTTTGCAATATAATGAGATGTTGGATAGGATTGTTTAGTACGAAAAGCTAAGGAATTGTTTCAATGCATTGTCTACCATTTAATAATAAAAATAACCCAGTCTTAACAAAATTAACCTAAAAGCTTTCACTATGACACTCATAAAAAATCATTTGACAAGTTTCAAGTTGACCAAAGATCTGTCTTAATCAATAAAATAGTGATTGTTACTTATCACTCGATGACTTTTGTTTTGTCTTTTCTTTAGCAAGCATTAATATAATTAGAGGCAGTATTTGACCTTTAATCAGGATAAGATAAAGGAATGGGAATGGGAGAGAGTTTCGAAAGTCAATTGGGTGGAATGAGAGAATTCAAAATATTAGAAGTGTTAATTAGATGAAATGAATGTTTCTATTTTTCTGAAAGTAACGTAGATACTGTAATAATCTTGAGGGGAAGCTTGAACTAAATAGCATAGGAGATTGTTTTACAGTAGCTCATCAGTTACCTATTCTTTCTCTCCAAAAAAAAAGTAAATAAATAAGTAAACAAGTGAAATGTGTGCTACAATACACCTAAGTACCTTCCTCAAAACATCTTTCTGATCGAAAACAAATTGATTTTTGTGACAGTGCGTGCTATTTTAAAAACGATGATCGCACAGGCTATTGACCTTTTCCGTGTCATGCATGTATGTATGTGATAGGAAGAAAAAATCTGTATATAATACAAACAAATGCAAAGACGTATTGCATGTATGTCGTATGGACAATGATCCTGACGAAGGATGACGCTTCCTTGCTGCTAAAGAGAATGACATATGAGTATATCACGTCACATACGCTTACAGTTCAATTTCAGGAGGGCTCGAAATTAAATTGAATAGAGGGTAGAAGTTCAAGGACCATTGTCGAAAATTCAAATGGTCATTAAGAGTAAGTGCCGATACAGTATTCTGAGAAATTGAAGGAATTATTTTATTTTTCCATTCACATATTGTATATTTGAAGAATTTGGATTTTAATTTGAATTTTTTTTCTTAATTAAATAGAATCTTAGTATAGCAACATTAGGTGATAAAATATAGTGGGTGATGGGTTTCAGATATTTTGGATAAGTCTAAAAGATATTACAGATGGTTAAAGATTAGATGATTTGAAACATCAGCAGAACAAGAAAAAGATAATCTTACAGCTTATTTTCGATCACCGATAATCGGCTACAGATGAAGTTCAAATTTTAAATCACAGGAAATACATGGAGATATGGAATGACGAAATATTTATGGCAATGAAAGTTATGTTGGATCAATCAAATAATATTATAGTCATTAGATATGCTATCACGTATTGTGATCATCATGCCAATGATTAAATGATAACTGATTACTATGCGAATAAGACTAGTGTCTAAGCCCTTTAGTTATTGATCGTAATATGCAAATTACCATGAAAATGAGCTAATTACGTATTAGTTAAAAATTAATGAAACTACATGGTTTGCAAATGCGTATGACCTCCTGCTTCAGCGCAAATATCCACTCACAGAATGATATACTGAAACATTAAGTTTGGGGCATTAATTTCATCTAATCACTCAGAAGGATATGCTGAGGGATTAACTGTCAGGAAGTTTCATCTATTCATTGGACACCTATCGATATCCTCCAGTATTGATGTAACACGTAAAACCTTCAAAACAGAATATTGTATATTAATGGTTAGATTAATTTTGTATGAAATTGAAATTCCTAAACTTTGTCTATATCAGATATTTGATTAATGGTTTTATGGTTGTATTAGATCAGTCAGTGGCAAAATTAACAAATACTATTTGCATTTATCTTTATTTGATATCATCACGACAACAATTAAATAAAGTTGTTATTGTTATTTGAATAGAAATTCACTGGAAGAAAAGAATAGAATGAGTTGTAGCTGTAAATGTATTTTAGATTTTGTATTTCATTAGTAAAGTTTACAGAATACAATAGTCGTAAAGTTTGGTATCAAATGTAAAATAACCAAAATTCGATAGCACTTCCTGAAAAACAGATATTTCGAGATTTCCTGATCTTGTACGAATAACATTCCTATTCTGATATTTCGATTTTATCCCTCTACAATAAATGATTGAAATGTGATCCATCTTGAGATATAAAATTCTACAGTAAGAGTACTGTAATCCAACAGTAAAGTATTATAAAGAATTTAATATGCCTTATGAAATTTAAGATTATATTTTAGGGATTTACTTTCTGTCCAGACAAGTACAAAAATTTAAATGACATTTAGTAAAAAACACTAGATAACGATACTCACAACTACGATACAACCTTCGGTTACAGTGTTTAGCCTATCACGTACAAAAGGAGCACTAAATACCAGTATTATTTTAAATATATCCATTCTGACTTTTTTCCACATGTACATAAATATACTCTATGCTCCAAATCTATGTACAATAAATATACTCTATGCTCGGCTTTTGGAACCGGAATTCATTAATAAAATGCGGTACGCCATGGTAATTTATAGCTAGGAATGTCCAGTGTTAAACGTTTTGCTCGTAATCTAATTGATATCCCTTTTGAAGTTATACGTTAAGTATATTCTACCTAATCATTAGATCTACTTCCATTTATTGAACCAGTAATGGATAGCGAATAAGTGACAGTTTGAGTGACAGTTGTCAGATGAAATCAACAAATCCTATCAGTTACGGGGTTTTTTTTTAAACTGTTTGAAGGACGAAGTAATTTCTTGATTCATATTTTTGAAGGCTATTTGTTTTAGGGGTCACTAAAGGATGGGGTCAGTGATTGATCCGTACTATCATTGTCGTAAAAAGATTCTTTCGAAATACTCCAAATTTAAGCAATGAATTATTTAACCTCAGTATTCCTATTTAGCTTTATTCAATTTTGCATGTTTCCATTATTCTTTCTTCCCTCTCATCTTCTCAGATAATCACTTGGAATTCGATTCTTTATCTTTCCATTTTTGCATATATCCATTCACGACTATTTTTTTAAAACTAAAAATCAATTTGAAATCTTTTCGTAATTAACTATAATTTTAATGATTGAAAGACTTTTTGAGTTACCCTAACGTTTGATTACCTTAAACTTTGGTTGCTTTTGACTACTTTTGAGTTTCCTTTGATTACTTTTGAGTTTTGATTGTACACAAACCACCGCAAACTATCAAAAAGAACAAAAATGATGAAATCATGCAATTACATTTGCATTGCTTTTTTTAATCTCAAAAAACGCATCAAAAATTTGAATACTTTGATGTATGATCAGATCGGTCAAATACGTTGCAACGTAAGACGTACAACAGATCACGTCTTTGATGGTAACAAAAAAGGAGGCTAATTTTCCCATCTAACAATCACTGCTCGAAACTATTCTACTACTCGTTTGAGCTCCGTGGGATTGTGGTTTTCACAACAGATAAATGTCAGATTGGTATGTTCACGTTTGGTATGATAGACGTTAGACGTACCCTTTTTTGTTTCTCAGTTATTCTGCGATAATTGTGATCGTTTAGTGTAGTACACTGTCCGGTCTTTACGTAATTTATTAATGGATATTTTATATATTGGATAGACTCTTACAACCTTAGCCATGAAAATATTTCTTGTTAATCAAAAGTTCTAAAGATAAATAAGAATGTGATATTGGTAGCATGAAGCGCAGCGTGATACGACTAGTATGCATAGGAATTAGATTTTAGCGCATATGACAACTACATTGCAGTGACTCATTCCTGATGGTTGAGGTCTACTTGAGTAATTTCCGGAACGCAGTAAATGCGGAAGAAGTTGCGCAGCAGATCTGTTCCGTAGTGGAAGCCAGCGATATCCATGCATTCGCTCAATTTCTAGCAGAACCATCGGTAAAAACACTGCAAAACGACCCAGATTATTGTAAATATTACAACTTGTTGTGTCTTTTTGCATACGGTAAGTTTATCGATGTCATGGGTGTGGTGAAGAATTTTTTGCAAATTTTGATGAAATTTGTTGTCCAGATGGATATCAGTCAAAGATGATAAATTTATCTAGAAATGTAGTATCAATAGAGCAGTGGTTGAGTAGGAAGTAGTTTTATCATATGGAGTTAACTGCAGTTTGAAATCATTGAATGCCTGACCAGCAGCTGGATTAAATTTAGTTGTGTGTTAACTGCAGTTGTCTTGCATACTTGTGTAGGTCATTTAGATAAGCCATCACACGATGATAACATCAGTTTCGAGTGAACAGATGCGTGAATAACTATTTGCTGCTGGTTCAGCCTCAGTTAACCACTTAATTTATCGAGTAGTTTGTATGGCAAACTTCATGAGTACAGAGGATTGTGGTTTATCTTACTAATGCACCCCCCGTCTCTTTCCGACACATGAAGCAAGAAGATGAAGAAATTGATTTAAATGGTATAGCTATGATTATTTATATTCAAATAATTCATTGAACAAATCAAGATTTACGGCTCTTAGGAACGTATGGAGATTTCGTCGCTCGTAAAAATGATTTGCCTGAGCTGAGTGAGATAATGTTGCGAAAAATACGGCAGCTAACGCTGGTAACGATGTGCACTCGTTCAAAAATTTTTTCGATCAAGGATGCCATGCGTGAATTGCAAATCATCGATCTGCAAGAATTCCAGCGTCTTTTCATTTCTGCCATATATGATGGTATTATTCAGGTTTTTTCTTTTTTTTTGTTTATTTCTTCATTGGTAATTTAATACTGACGGTAACAGCGTTTATTTTTGGTAGTTCCAGCAGTAGTTCTGATCACAAGTGAAAGAGTTTGAGATGCCTTTAGGGTTCATCTTATGTTTCCATCCGTTTTTTGTCAGGATACTGAAAAGTTGTCTTACTACAGGAAAAAGTAGAACTTAGACAGACTGACCAACTAAGTCGTAATTATTCTGTTGCTCACTGTTTTGAAGTTTTGACTGTTACTGTTAATGAAGACAGCAAAAAAAAAAATCCTGGTCGGTTTTCGTACTCTATAAATGTATAAAATAACATAAAATAGGTTATTTCTGCTATCAGGCAGATAATGTAACTGGTGCATTAAGGAGCCATTGTGGTCCACATAACGTACTGGGTTTAGATAATATTGAATAATAGCTTACTGTATGCGATATGTTCATCCTCATTTACTACTTCTCCAGTTTTTCATGCAGTATTACTTAGATTGATATTACCTAAGGGAACACTATCTACTTGATTCAACCTCTATTTCATCTCGAAATAATTTTCTTGATGAGGCAGGAAAAAATTAAAGTAATGCAAATTTTCTAACTTTTGGATGATTTTTCTTTTCCTTGATATATTATTACTAAAACTGTGAGTTTTACAGGGGCGGTTAAATGCTCAGAAAAGTGAAGTCGAAGTTTTTTCATGGAAGAATCGGGACATTGCGGATGATGAATTAGATAACGTTTGTCAAGAGTTACATAAATGGATACAGCGATGTACCGATATCAAAGAGGGTTTGAGTCACGTAGCAAAACTCACTGAAAAAGCTATTGCAGAAGCAAATGAACGTGAGAATAAGGTAATCTTTCAAATTTAATTAGAAACTGTGTGCTTTTGTTGCGCATCAAACAAGACGCCTGAATGAAGTGTCGCACAAGCCCTGTGACATTAAAAATGATTCGATTTGATAGGTCCACTTTTTTAGCGTCAGCTGTCTGTTGTCGGAAGTGTATAGGAAACTCTGTGCACTAAAAGTACATCAGAGCGCAAAATGTGAAATGAATCTTAGCACTTCAAACTATTTTTGCACATCGCTGATTAAGTTTATTCATATCCGTCAAAACTGTGTAATTTTTGTTGCTCTCTAGGCGTTTCAAATAGTAACAGAGCCCATTATTAATGCTCAAACTCAGAGAAGTCAGTTTTACATGTCAATGTAACCAGCGTCATCATCAGGTTAGGAAGGCTTTGTCACCAGATGTATTAGTGTATGCAATTGTTGAAATCGAGAGTGAAAGTATAGTGGCAGGTGAAACAGAAGGCATGGAATTTCACATGCGTCTAAGGTAAGATTTCAGTCACCTTTTAAATGCTGCAACTTACTCCCTTTGTTATGCAGGTTGCAGAAGAAGCGAAGAAAGTGCAGAAAATGCTTGAGGAAGAAGAAGAACAACGAATGCCCAAGGAATTTTATCGGCGTACAAAAACTCAACGCGGGAAAAAGCACTGTTAAAGTTGAAATTACACCCATCCGTATAAGAATATATTTTTCTAGTGTAAATATAAAAGCATGCAGAGAATCAGAATCAGGTATCTGCGGTTATCGTGTAACCCCTTCATTTTTTAATCCTTAAAATACTATACGCTTTAACCTCCGTTTCAAAATTTAACTTCGTGGTTTTAAATTATTTTCATGGCACTGTTTCTGTTTTGCTGAAGAAAATCTAATAAATTATTTACCATTTACTATGTAAATCAGAAATATCTGCATAAACCCATAGAAAGTCAGAGTTTTTCTTGTAGCGAAAGCGAAAGATATTCTTCCATTTCCTGAAAATATTCTACAAAATTTTTAGCGATTTTTGAGGATTATGCAACCTTAGTTCCATCCGATTATCCATCTCTGTAACATTTAAATCTTTGAATTCAAGGATCCAACACATTTTTAAAATAGGTGCGTCCTACAATGTCATTCGTAAGTCATACGATCGCAGGAACCTCTAATCCTCGTAGGAGTTCCTGGACTTTGTAATCCAAATTAGACTCATTTAGGCTTTTATTAAAAAATCAGAGGTCTCTCAAAAGGAGAAAAGAAATAATAATTTCAAGTCTATCGAAGCCTTACATTTGGTGGCACTGAAGAATAGTGAGCTATAAAGCGAAGAGTATGCACAAAAATCGGTTGTTTCATGCTTCCTCGCGTTGTAAGTAAAGTCGCTGATATGTAAACGTTGCAGAGGGCGAGAAATTCTTGCAAAACATTAAACTGTAGTAATATACACGCGAAACCGGCGCAAAATGCCGAGATATCCGTTGAATCGGCTTTTTTGAGCACTACAAAGATATTATTTCGAAAGTTAAATTTCTTAGTGAACTTATGCTTTCCGATACAAAGTTCGAACAATTTTTTTGCTTGTGCACAAAAAAGAATCATTAAATGAAATCCTTCAAATTATCAATTGTTACAGGGACATGGGTTAGACAAGTAATAGAATAAAGTACAAAGAAAATCAGACGCAAATTTGAAAGTGTTTTACCATTGAACTTGCTTATCGCAGCTAGAAGTATAAGAAACATTGCAGGTATCAGCAGCTGTGGTGTCTCTCTTCTTATGTATATCTATAACATATTTTAAAAAGCCTGAATAATTGCAAATACGATACTGGCAAACAAAAATCCTGCTCATTAACAATACCTCATGCAAAACAGTGCAAAAAATCTGATCTGAAACTAACTTTCATCGATGGGTCTGTTATAGCGCAACGTTCTAAAAGTACCGAAAATTCACTGAGAAATGTCGCATCACATCCACCACGACGCCCACGAATATCGCCAACAACACCTCTGAATGAACGTGTGTTTTCTTATAAAGCATTAATGTCCGGAAAACATTAAATGACGAATGCAATATTTTCGAAATGAAGATTCTGGAGGGAATTGAGCTTTTCTAGAATGCTTTCCTAATTCTTTTAGAAAAGCTTTAGATGGTGTTCAGAAAACTTTCCTCAGATTCATTTCCTGAAATTTTTCAAATTTTTTTCAAAAAAAAACCAGTTGGAAGGAACAGAACTCGTTAAGTGTAGCAACTGCGTTGAAGATATTCGACGAATGTTGTCGTAACGCTGACTGATTAACAGCCAATATTTGCTGCCGCAATAGCTGTAACTGACCAATCTAAAATTAAATTGTTTTATTAACTCATTCGATATCTGAATGCATAGATACGCAACAGAAAATAAAAAGAATAAAGAACGCCAAAATTAGTGTAAGACCGATCAATCGGATTTTCCGCCACCAAATAACTTTGCGATTAATTCGCGCATGATAAATCAGTAAAGTTGTGATTTTTTGCAGTAAATTATATGTCAAAACGCGTGATACCAATCACACGAAATGGTATTTGTAATTAAGTAGAACATTATGCCTTGTGATTTGTATGGTATTACAAGGCAGTTTGCAAGGCTAATATTATCAGTCGACTACATTAAAAACGAATTGATGAGAAGTAAAACGAAACACGCCTTACTGACTGTACCAATAAATCGTGACGAATTTGGCAAAAACTTGGACAAGGCACAGTCGAAAATTTTCAGTCTTCCAGCAACCACTACAGTTTTCACCAGTGTAATGTCATTTAACAGTGAAGTCATTATAGGACATAATATTTCCGAAAGTTGTTCACATAATGTGTATAAATATTTCACGATATGAAATGATGCAATCCGATCGAGCGCATATACACCCATCGGTGAAAGAGCTTCCTGAAAAGAACAAAGAACAATAGTTCTTATCTTAAATAATAGTGGCTCGTATTACCCAAGTATATTACCAATAATAAAAACACCATCGACAGCATAACAATTCTAACTGGCTCAAAAACCATTACTTTATCAATAAGAACGGGTCAAACAGTATAAAACTCTACTAATGTTTCAGGACTTCATCAGCTTTCACTGACTAAGTCTGATTTAATGAATATTTGATTAAATTTAATCTGGCTCAATTTAAATAACCTGTATAGCACTTAGAGATTCGTTTGATAACACTGTTTTCTTAGTTTTTAAATCACACCATACCCTCATCGAATTTACAAAATATGATGATCTAAAAAAGAATCATGAATTACAATTCAAGTCCTGATTCTGAATTTGGAAATTAACTTTTACGGACACCTTTAAAAACTAATTTTTGTAATTGCTCCAGACGTCAAGGTACAACCTTACTTTGGATCTGATGAATTCAAAATTCTGCTATACAAGCGATGTAGAGGAGTTAATGATCCTTCAAAAGCCGGAATAATAGGAATAGGCGCTGATCTAGACTGATATAAGCTCTCTTCTTCTGTGATCTGTAACATGTTGTTCTAGTTTATCGACTTCAATCAATAAAACACAGATTCTAACTTTAAAAAAGATATCGGAAGTACCCATCCTATTTTCTGAATAGTTGTTGTTAAAAGTAATACTGAATTTATTTAAAAAAATCGGTCAAAATTCTGGAATTTATTAATTAGAAAAACAAACAGGATGTTGAAGAAAAGCGTTACATTCTTTCTCGATCATATAACCAATTATACGAGCTAATTCATTGTGCCATATTACAGCTCCGTTAATAGCAATATGTTCACACATGTAAACAAAAGCTTCACGTAAATGAGCAAACTGATTCTTCAGTTTAGTCAAAAAATCGTCCAGCAGCAAATCAGAAGTTAACAGCGACCGCAATGTTGCACAAATTTGACTTACTAATTCTCTAAAACGATAAATTTTTCTTTCCTCAAATTTATAAATGATTTACAGCTATTTCTATATCATCAATTGGTAGTATATCAGTGATGTGCGGAACTCCTAGAAGATACCATACTATCGTTCTGCAGCAATTACTGCGGAATACAAACTTCCTGATTCCATCTAAAAGAAGATTTGATGGATCCACTCGAAGTGACCCAAGTGACGTTAATTGCATAGTTGAAATACCAGAAGAAAGCATTGAGATTGCATGTGTAATAGCTGCAAGTTGCAAACGACGTTCTGAATCCGCAAATTGACGAACATCAGATTTATTCACAGAACGTCCTTGCGGAGGGTTCAGTAGACCAGCTACTTTATCCAACATCTCAAACAGCGAACGTGGAACAGCCTGGAGATGATATCCCATCCAAGAAAGTTTAGAGTTAAAATTTCAGTTTTGTTTTCTGTTTAGATTCATTTTCATTTACAGTTCATATTCATTCTCCAATTTCACAACAATGCAAACGTGAGAGTTAAAAAACATATGTAGTAGTTTTTAAATCATTGAATTTAAGTGTAATAAAGTACCTAAAAGTGATTGAATCTGAGAGAACAAATAAATAAATGGAAAAACAACCATTCGTACTTGAAGGATTTTGCGCAACTTTGCTTCAATCAAACGCGAATAACACACTGATATAGACGATATCCTCTCAGGTGTATTCAGACGTTCCAATGTTAAATTAATTGAGCTGGCCATTTTGACAAACAATGAACATATTGGAAGTGGATCAACTTTCACCAAACTTTTCATATTTTCAGTCCATCTGTAACAAAAGCACGCCATCAGATATGAAGAAATTGAGGAAAAACTTACTTAACAAAATGAATTGATTTTATCTTATCTTCTATTTCAGATTTCATGTGAGTAAACTAAATTACTGCTTGATACAAATTTGTAAAACGGTATTGAACAGGAAGAGTTTTGTTTTAAACATTAAGGACTTCAAAGGGACTGATGAAATTAAAAATGAAGTGATTATTAGTAAAATACAACTAAAATAAAGGAAATACAAGAAAATACTGGTCAGTGATTGCCCATCCATACGAAAAATTTGTTGCTGATTCTAGTTTTTTCAAAAATGCTCCATCCAACATGCAATAGTGCGATAATGTGGTCAATAAAATTTGGGTATTTTGCAGATATTGGGATACGGCAACTATCCCAGACAGATCATGCATATCGCTCACCTATAGGTTACAAAATTTAATAAGCTGAACTCTGATGCAGGAGCACATACAAATGAGTTTCTTAAATGAATAGCTTTCAAATGTTATCTTTGCATAATTTGACAAGTACTTAGAAAAAAGATTTTAGAAAATTCTTGTAACAAATATCCATCACCGATTAGAAGCAAAGCCCTTGTAAAACAAAACTTATTGTCAAGAAACGATGATAAGCTATAGCTGTAAATACAAGAAGCGGGGAACCAATGGAATAATGTGCAGAAAACAAGTATTAATCAACAGATTATGTAGAAGTTGAAAAGAAAATGCGATACAAAAACCTGGTCCAGTCGGTTTTTCAATTCTGAAATCAAAGAAGACGCATCTGCATTAAAAATATCCAACTCTTCAATAGTTTTCTTCAGCAACAGAAGCCATGATCTTAACTTTTCTGCAAAGAAAATTACCCCATAATCCAAACCTTTACCGTAGGAAAAGTGCCAAATTGTAAATGTATCCTTTATAAGCAAAGTAATTAATAGCGTAATACGGAAAATTTCTATCCCTTAAATTTTAATAACAAAAGTGGTAAAAGACTGTGCACGAAGCAAAACAGGCCATATACCATTTTTCTTGATCCTCTGCAAAGGTAATTCGTTTGCAAAAAGTTCGGCTACTTGTATGATATGATCACAGACTTCGTCCTTAAGTTTTCGGACATTCTTATCCTTGTTGTCTAGAAGCGATCGAGCTATCTAAAATTTCAAGGAGCTGCTCCAATAAAACTATTTAACATATACAAAACAAAAATCCAAAGAAATGAAACAAAAATTAGGTACTGAAAATTCGAATATCTCTTTGAAAAACTAATATTTTATAATTAAGAAAAATTAGCACATATAAGCAGCGAATTTCTCAACATTTAGAGAATAATAAGTTAAACTTGATTTGCAGAGTACATAGCTAATTTGGAAAGATGTCAATTCAAATTTCTTAAGTTCACAGCTGTCAAAAGTGATAAAAACTCCCGCACTTCTTTATAACCATATTCAAAGGTTGAAATTTCGAGCACTTTACTAAACAAATCAAGCGAAGATGATGCAATTTGATTGTTCACAATGTCATAAAGCTGTCCGGAACGTTTGCAGCACTTCTCGGACTTATCTGAAGAGCATAAGAAAAATCATTTCATTTTTTCATTTTTTGCAAAATGACGCATCCCTACATAAATAAGTTTTATGAGAAGGATTAAAATATAAAGCAAGATTTGAACACGTATGACAGAATGACAGCAGTAGGACTTACAGGCATGCAACATAACCCATTCGAGGTGCTTATTTGAAGCAGCTACTAAATCAGCAAATAAAATGACATCAGCCACTGAAAACTTGGCAGTATGTGGAAAGGATGCCGCTTTCAGAGCAGATATGTGGCCAGCAGTCAAGTGTTTTACTGTTTGTATACTAATTGCATGCTGCAGCGCATTACTTGCTGCTTTATAATGGTCCCAAACATCGTGCATATTTATCACTATTCCCATGTGCAAATGCACTACCTAAAAATCAGCTAATCTGCATCTTCACGAAAGAGTTCTAATTTAAAAAAACGCTGTAATCTGGAAGCTTGACAAGACCAAGCCATTTTGCCTTCAAAAATTGGCAGAAAATAAAACTATTTCTTCTACAACATAACCAATAATAGTACGAGTAATGAGCGGTAATGGCAAATATTAAACGACGAAAATTCGGCCACGATGAAAGCCCCAAGTAACTGTATTCATATTTCAAAGAAATCAGCACCATTGCAATGAGTAGATGATCATCCCATTACTTTTACCTGGATTTAAAGAGACAAAAATTGGAACTGTCAGTTAATCATTACTATATCTTTGCTCAACAGTAATGAGGGAGACGCAGATCTTAAATGAGAAAATATAGCCAAGACGAAAGTCCCAAGTAGCCGTATTTATATCTCAAAGAAATGTAAAATTTACTTAATTAAAAACATACCCATTCCTCGGTGAAAAATGTATCCACAATATGGCGCATAACAACATGATCCGAATGTAATAATGTAGGAAGAAAGAAAAGACAAACAGAAAGAAATGCACGTTGATAACGTGAAGCACGAATGCCTCGTCGGGAAAGTTCATGCGGTATAAGTTCATCCTGAAAAAAGCTAACTGATCAGATAACCGAGCAAAATGAACTTTCTACAAGAGCAAAAACTGAAATGCATATACATGCATCGAACAGTAGCTTTATTTTTTTAAAAAAGTAAGTGAACTAATAAGCATAAGTTAAAAAAGTAAATACATATAATATACACAAAAAAATAAATATATATAATATATGCAGAAGGTTTGAAATAAAATATAATACAAAAAGATTATAGTGTATTTAACAAATAATTTCTCCAAACTTCAAATCACATGCCACAAGTGAATAGTCAGATGGGGCATATAACTTCAAATCACAGTCTTCATCAAATAGTTTCTGATGCTATAATAAAGGAGGAAACACCACAATTAATTGAGAAAAGCGTAAATTTCATAATACATTAGAGATAAAAAAATCTGAGGGAGTGAGTCTCATTCATATTTAGTTAATACCCTTCAAAGTAATAATGTAATGAAGCTTCTTCATTTTTTTAAAGTTGAAAAATTTAAACTTTTCTAGTACATCTAAAACTCTAGCCAGATCCTACAATAATGCCAAGGAAATAATGTTTGTGTACCTCATCAGGAAACAAAACGTCCGTGTGTAATACCAAAAGGATATTGCTAACAAAAGCTTTATTTAACGGCAGTCTTCTGAAAAGTAAATACGTATTCGAAAAAGAGTAAATAAGTAAGTAAATAAATAAATGAATAAATAAATAACAAGTAGATAAATGATTGATTAATTAATTAACTAGATAAATTAATTAATTAAATGAATAAATAAAGTAAATAAATAAATAAATAAACTAATTAAAAAAATAAATAAATAAACAAAATAAATAAATAAATAGAATAAATAAAATAAAACAAACATAATAAATAAAATAAAAAAGTATATATATATGTATGTACATATATATATATACATATATATATATATATATATATATATATATATATATATATATATATATATATATATATATATATA